GCCTTTGGGATGTGACATATTGGCACCCCAATTGGAGAATGATATCACTTCTGTTTTGACAACCATTTTCTTATTACTTATCAGTTTATGTGCTGTGGTTTTGTGTCCTTTTGGTTAGGTTTTATCAAGTTTGTTAAAAGCCAGCCAGAATTGGTTGAGTTGGGCACCCATGTAACTGTTTTTAAACAAACAAACTAATATTATATGCAATGTTCTTTTGAAGCAAATTCTTCCCTCCCCTCTCCTTCTCCTATTTGGCCTAGGTACTCTCTTCTTACTCGGCATGTGCATATTCACATATATATACAGGAACAGCAGGCCTTATACGCAGCATTTAATTATCTTTGGGTCCTCCTACAGCTTGGCCTGGGCTTGCATTCCAATGTTCTTCATAACAGGTGAGCCACAACATCTGACAGGGCTCATCTTGATGGCCATCTGCTTAGAGAGAATGTCCACCAAAGAAAAATAGACCATATAGAGAATTGGAAAATAAAGAGTTTTTAACTATTGCAGGGAAGAAGAACAATGCCAACTACCTTAGCAGTGAATGTGCATTTTCTATTAGGAGCCATATAATTATGAAATAGGGGAAAAGAAAACATATGTAAAAACCAAAAGATAGATAGATAGGTGATAGATAGATAGATAGATAGATAGATAGATAGATAGATAGATAGATAGATAGTAGATAGATAGATGATAGACAGATGATAGATAGATGATAGATAGATAGATAGATAGATAGATAGATAGATAGATAGATAGATAGGTTATAGATAGAGTTAGATGATCAATAGAGATAGATGATAGATAATTGATAGATAGATGACAGAGGATAGATGATAGATAGATGTTATGTCTCACCTATATTCATAGATGAGAAGACAAGGTTTCAGAATTCAAAATATTCAAGCAGAAACAAAACCAGATTCAAAAGGGTTAAATTAGCACAGTTTTCCAGTCCTTGGCAGACTTCCCGGAACCTGTCAGGCTAATCAGAATTGTCCATAACTCACAAGGCCACTTCAAATGTATTCTTCCAACTCATCAAACACTTTGCTTCCAAGCAAAGCTTGATAGTCAGCACGCCTCTTTAAATAACCTGGATAGGCGTGTCAGTCTCTCCAATCAATGTTTGGCCTGATGCCTCCCTTCAGATTGACGTTTCCTGGTTCTCCTAGTTCTGGCGTCAACCCACGATCTGTCAGTTTCCTTACTGGAAACTTCTGTCTCATTTTGTTGATCATATGCTGGCATGAACGAAGTTGAAGGTTCTGGGGAGGATTGTCTCTGCGACAATCTCTCATCCTCCTGGCTCACGTCTGTGTCCTCTGATAATTCAGACTCCACATTCACAGCAGGCTCCAACCTTCCATCGTCAGAGTCATCAGAGTCAAAACTCCCAGCAGGATCGATCCTTCCAGTCGCAACAGATAGATATGAATGATAGATATCTGATAGATGAGAGAGATGCTTGACAGAAAGAAGGATGGATGATTGATTGATTGATAGACATAGATAGATAGATATGATAGATAGATGAGAGATAGATAGATGAGAGAGAGTTGCTTGATAGACAGACAGACAGACAGATGGATGATAGATAGATGAGAGAGAGAGAAAACAAAAAGAAAAGAAAATCAGAATATTTTAAAACAAAAAAAATACAGCTGGAATAAAATAAACATGTGATTAGTAGGTTTTTTTAAAAAGAAAAATCAGCCAAGAATTCAACCAGGAGTGAATAGAGTGCAGAAGCACCAATATATGTTAGGCATTAATTTAGTAAAAGCCGGAGAATCATGAGGAAACACCTTAGCAACCAAAGCAAATATTTTAGTAGCAAACTAAGTCCATGTTCAATAACTGGGCAAGGATGTAATAGAATCCCTGGATTTCTTCTGGAAACAAGTTTGCATTCTATCCAAATGTTGCAATGGGATGAAGATACCAGAGGGGTGCATGTGTGTGTGTGTGTGTGTGTGTGTGTGTGTGTGTGTGTGTGTGTAAGGAGTTACATCAATTAGAGTTAATTTGGACTAGTCTCAGCTTAGTCTGAAATTAACTTCTTTCTCTTTTTCCAACAGGTGCTTTATTGATGAAGACGCATCGAATCCTCTTCCAGTGATCCTGTCCAGCTAGCCAGAATAGTCACCAAGGAGAGTTCCTGTATGATTTTTGTCCCATCGGTTGTCTTGGCTAGATAAAACATAGCCTCATACCAGGAATGAGGTCACAGTTACAATATTCCTGTGTCTCAGTTGGAAATATACTAAGTATGCCCCATGAACCTTTCTGTCTGTTCTCTAAGTAAGTAGAGCTAAATCAAAGTCTGACAATTTAGAACATCCCGTAACATTTTTGAACAGAATAAGGACCACTATTTTAAAGGATTTAGTTTTCATTTCAACAAGTCTTCAGCTAATCAAGATGTTCTTTCTTCTTTCTAAATAAATTAATAAATTTTAATAGATTTTTTTGAATGAATTGAAAGGCATATAAGCTTAATAAATAAAATGTATTTCTCAATGCTAGGTTTAATAATTCAAACTGCAGTGACTACTGCAATGGTTGATGTGTTGCAATTGTTTTAAGATGTCACAGACCCAAGAATTAAGAAATACTCATCATAGTAATAATAATAATATTCTCTAGTAGTAATCTCATAATGACAGTGCTTTTCCCTCATAATATTAATACATATTAGTTATTAATACTAATCAAAATTAATAAGTTACAATAATCAACCCTAATAATAAAGTTAATTCTTTCTTTCTCTTGTGATTTTAGAAGTTCTAACTTCTGTTTCTCTTATTTAGCCATTGATGTTGCAATTGTTTTAAGATCTCAGAGACCCAAGAATTAAGAAATGCAATAGGAAATAAACTGTATTTGGTGGGGAGGGGATTTGCATACCAAGAGACTTCCTTTCTTGAAGGAAGTGAGAGTCACTTGTTAACATAGTACCTGGGAGTATCTCAAGTATTCTAGAACTCTATTTCAGAGAGTTATCATCTGCAGGAAGGTCAAGGAACAGATTCTAAGCTGGTGAGATAGTATTTCTTTATTTCTTTAATCATTTTAGAATTGGCAAATTTTATTCTGAATGAGTTTCAAGAAGAACTGATGGGATCTAATCGTAAGCTTTTGAAATCAATATTTTACGCTAGGCTACTTTTACTTAAGAAAAGGAGGGGAAAGTTAAATATTTTTCTGCTTGTTTAATAATACCTTTAAGTGTTTTTTTTTTCATAATTTATATATATAAAAATCCATAAAAAATTGTTTCATAATCAGTGAGATTAATACCGGCTGCATGTATTAGCTCAAGATTCCTTGAGAAATTCCTTGAGAAATCCTAAAGCTCTGATCTTCTTTAAGATGTTCATCTTCTTAAAATGTTCGCTCATTTCTGATAAATTTGATCACTTGTCCGTTTAAATGAAAGCATTCTGGGTTTTTGAATGGAACATGTGCTAAATGTGCTAACATTGAATATAGAAGGAAGGATACAAAAGAAAACAAGCTATTGAATAGAGTTTCTGTGACAACTCTTTGAAATCTGTGGAGCTAAATGGTAGTTCTTGAACAGAAACATTCAAAACACAATCCTTTTTGTGTGTGTGTATGTGCGTAAAAATATGTGAGATTTTTCTCTTTCTTTCTCCCCACTTCCTAGGGGGAAAAAAGTTGACTTTTCCTTAACTAATCTGTAATTTAAGATTTACCTTTGTATTTCCCCCAATTAAAAAGTGATAGGAATGGTTAGAAAATATGTAAATAAAGAACAGAGACCTGGATTTAAATGCCAATGGCCACTTTCAGTGAGTGAATCAGAGGTAGCTGCTTTCTGTCAGCAATAGCTACCTAACTTTTTAAGTTTCTGAGCAGGATAAAATGGGGGTGGTTCTCTTCTCCTTCACCAGGAGAGGTACTGTAACTCTGAAAGGATAAAGTAAAACAGAAATGGCCTTGAAGCATTTGCATGGATTGCAACTCTTTCTTCAGCAGCTGCAGGACTTTTATTGAAAGGAAGTGAGGAAAACCAAACTCAACAACTTAAAAAGAAAACAATGGATTTCATTTCCCAGCCAATGCCTATTGAGAGTACAAGCAACACTCCCAGGTTCTGAACTTTTGACACAATGGATCCTTTAAAAGAGATCCACTCCAGCTTAATCACAATCCACAGCCTTGGTGAAATCTCACCGTTCCTATGATCTAAAAGCACCCACTCAGAAAGACAAAGTTGATCCTAACTCCCAAGTAATAGCTGGGTGTCAGGCAAGAAAATTGTGGAGGTTTCCTTCGGATTAACCAAAGATTGCTCTGCGTATCCAAAGTAGCAAAATAAATAGAACAAAAATGAAGATCTAGAAATTCAACTCTGCTGTTCCTAATTCGCCTGTTATGCTGTGAAATGCATACATTTGAATCCCACCACTGGGTCAAACACAACCCTGATGTGATCCTCAATGAAATCGAGTTGGATACCTCTGCTCTAGAATAACCCTACCGCGTTTTTCAAAGGGAAAAAAATGTTTATTCATTTATTTTCACATTTATTGAATCCCCCCTAAAAAAGAGGGATAGTGGCAATGGCAAAAACTATATTTATTATTATTCAGACACTAAAACCCGAATAAGACGTCCAGTGAACAAATTCTAACTGCAGAATATTTTAGGACATATAAGTGAGTCCCATTGCTGTCACAATTGTCTCCTTGGATAAATAAATAACACAGGTCGCATTCTATTAGAATGGGAAGTTTCCAATTTTGTCCCCATTTTTAGAAAGGAGACAAGGAAGACTCCTCCCCCAAACTATAGGCTCATAAGTCTATAAGCTCACCTTATTTATATAAGGTGCTCCAAAATTCATTTGAGCAAAATATAGGATTGAATGGCAGGGGTGAATCCCTCTTGGTGAAAGGATGGCTCAATTCAGACTGGGGTGCTCTCTAAGAGACAGTCATTTTATTTTACAATGTATTATGAAATGCACATCTATTGGTAAAGAATTGTGTGCTATAGTTTTTGACACCAGAAACAGAAACATTTTGAGGAAGAAACCGGACACATTTAAACATGGAACCCAGATTCTTCTTCCTGGTAAGTCAGTCTCTATTCAGTTAACTATCTGAAAGTCTACACTGGGATCATTGGCTCTCCGTTTCAAGGCAATTGGACCAGTAATTTTCCAAATATATTTGCACATTCATGAAGCCAGCATGACACCATGGAGCGATATTACCTTCCCACCTGTTTTATCTACTCACATTTGCATGTTCTTGAACTGCTAGGTGAGCAGGAGCTTGCTTGCATGGCACTCAAATCTTTAACCTAGTGTCAGCCTAGTGTCTTAACCACTAGGTTAGCCAACATCTGGCTCTCAATGGCTCTCATTCTTCCCAGGGAGTTTACTGTGTATTAAAATCACACACACACACACACACACACACACACACACACACACTTCACATTGTTAGCAGACAAAGTAATTAAGATGTGTAACCATGACTTTGCAACTAAGAACAACAAACCATAAAGGATCAAAGTAATGAACATCAATGACATAAAATTAATGTTCTCCTCCAGTTCCATCCCACACCTTTTGGCCAGTGGCAGACCAGTGCATCCCATAGAAATGAGTGCCCTACATTTCGGTGCTGTGTTCTGTTCCTTCATCAGTCTTCTGTGCCTGCTCACTGCCTTGGGCTCAGACTATTGGCTAGCAGATTCCGTCGCACATTTGGGTCTATGGAAAATTTGTAATCAGGAAAAATGTCACTCACTTGGTGTGGAATGGGTGTCAGGTAAGATTCAATATTTCAAATGCATTACTAGCCTGAAAGGCCCAGGAACTTCCACCTTGAATTCTTATCTTGTGTCTGCATTGGTTCACTACAGCCGCTCTCCATGCCATCCGAACCTTCATGTTTCTGGGGATGATCGCTGGAGCTGTCTCTCTCGGTGGGCTGTGCGTCATGAATAGTCAACCCAGACTTGCATATATGGCCAGCTTTACTGCAGGTAAGAATCTTTACAAGTGTCTTTTCCCAGATATATTTTTTGTGTGGCTTAGTTCAACACTATCACTACTAATTTATATCACACACACACACACACACACACAGAGTATATTTATGAGTGTGTGTGTATTATAGTACAGTATAATACTATACTATACTATACTATACTATACTATACTATACTACACTACACTACACTACACTACACTACACTACACTACACCATACCATACCATACCATACCATACCATACCATACCATACCATACCAGCCAGGGTGGCACAGTGATTAGAATTCAGAATTATACACTATACTACACTACACTAGCCAGGGTAGCTAGACCTAGTGGGCTTTTCTAGGTTATGCCTGCAATATCTCAAAAGATAGTTAATCCCCCCTTTTTCTTATTGGCCACCCACAGTCCAAAATGTCCACCAATCTCTTTTGTTCATTTTACTATGAGAAACAGCCAGCCATTCTGGGACATCTCCTTGGTGTGACCTTGAGGTGACAGCAATGTCTCACGGAAGCCGATGGGTGTTTGAATACCATCCTGCCACCCAGCATTCCATCCACTCTGCTCCCTGTTATTGCCACAATGCAAACAAAGGAAAAATGTCGGTGAAAGTGTGAGTCAGTCTTGACAGCGTGGTTGGGGGCCAATGAACCTAGTAGGCACTTCCAAGGGCAAAGAAAGCATGGCTCCAGTATTTCATCAGATGGCATTGTTAGTTGAGGGGAGATGGAACATGCCCATCTTGTCTGTCTTTGCAAGATGGGCAGAGACAATGAGACAAAGACAGTCCCCCGTAAAGATTCAGGAGCCAAATAAGCAAAGGCATTATAGATAAAAACCAGCACCTTGAATTGCACTCAGAAACCAACCATTCACTCAGAAATCATCATTTCAGCTCTTGAAGTGTTGAAATCTGGTGGACATACTGAAGTCCATTCATAATTATTCATGCAGCCACCTTTAGTTTCCAATGCGTCTTTCAAGAGTATCTTCAAGCATGACCCTATGTACACTAGCCCAGACTAGAGATGACTAAAGCATGACAGACTGTGAGAAGAGTCTTTTGATCCAGGAAAGGACATAGTTCACTGTTAGAACAGATTTATAAATGGAAAAATATACAGAGAAAACAAAATTGGCAAACTGACCCATAGATCCTTTTTCAAAAGGCAACTGGGCTTTCTTTGTTTTTCATTGAAGACGTTTCGCTTCTCATTCCAGAAGCTACTTAAGTTCTTTCGTTGTATGAGAAGCAAAACATCTTCAAGAAAAAAACATAGAAAGTCCAGTTGCCTTTTGAAGAAAGTACTTTTTAGGACAACCATGACCTGGATGACTGAGAATCTCCACAGACATTTGGCAAATTAATCCATCCTTCCCTATGTTAGTTTCTGCATTTTGGAGGAAATACGAAATACTTGGATTATACTAATGTAATAAACATCCCAAGAGGCTGCCACCTTTTTTGTAAGGAGAGTTGAAAAACCCATCGATGTCTTCCATACTTCTGAAAGAAATTTCTCTACTTCTACCTCTACTTCTCCCTTAATTTTCAGGCCTCTGCGTCATGATTGCCATGTCCATTTTCTCAGGAAGAGTTGCTTCCGCCAGCAAATTTGGATGGTCTTTCGGCTTGGGTTGGGCTTCTTTTCCTTTGTACCTTCTAAATGGTAAGGATATTTTGTGAATACCTTTGTGAGATTTTTCACATTGATGCATTCTGTGAATTTATTTCATTTTGGGTTGGGAACTAAGCACATTTCCCTGGCAGGAGAGGAATCAGCAACATTTAAATATCCAAACATCTGTATATCCTGTATTACAGCTTATCCAATCCGTTGCTTGGTTGGGATCAAAAAGATTTGAAGTTCCAGGCATTTAGGAGATACTCATTTATCTCATAAGGGACATGGTGGTTCAGTAGCTAAGACACCAAGCTTGTCGATCAGAAAGGTTGGCAGTTTGGCAGTTCAGATTCCTAGCATCGCATAATGGAATGAGCTTCCGTTCTAGCTTCTGCCAACCTAGCAGTTCGAAAGCCCATAAAAAATGCAAGTAGAAAAATAGGGACCACTTTGGTGGGAAGGTAACAGCACTTTGTGCGCCTTCAGTGTTTAGTCGCGCCAGCCACATGACCACAGAGATGTCTTTGGACAGTGCTGGTTCTTTGGCTTTGTAATGGAGATGAGCACTGCCCCCAAGAACTGGAAATGACTAGCACATATGTGCAAGGAGAACTTTTAGCTTTACCTTAGTTTACCTCATATATCTGACATTAAGACTGTCTGCAGTTAAGAGCAATAGATCTATTCTGGACCACTGACTTTTAAGGATTAGAGCTTGGGCATTAAAAGATGAATAAAGAGATGTGATTGAGTTCAGAGCTCCATAGATTCCTGGTTTGTTAGTTTTTAATTCTACTTCATCTGCTGGGTAGCTAATCCATTATTTTTTTTCCTTTGGATAGGTTGTCTTACTTACATATTGTATAAGAATACAGCAACCACAGGGTAGGAGAAATATAACGCTGTCTTTGGAGATGACCAGTGAAGCTGCGTTGGTAACCTGGAGGCACAGATCAGAATTATTTGCCCTGCACCAAATTTATAAATGAAAGGTGAAGGTAGAAGAATTAGTTTCAATGTAGAAAAACAGCCATACATTCCCAGCCCCTCCCCACCGTATTTTTCTCTATAATATTCTCCATAGATTCTTTCAGGAAAGTTGATTTCCATTTCTCTCAAGGGATAAAAGAAATATATGTTTTTTTTCTGGCAAAAAAAAAATGGAATGGGATGATCCCTGACATGCTTTCCTTCCTCTCCTGGTGATCAAGAATTCTCTGGAAAAAAAAAACCCAAACTCACCTTCACTGCATCTCAGATTTCCCCCTTTTCCATATCTCACCTTTGAAATTTTGTTTTCTAGAAATCAGAATTTTTGTATTTTAAGATAAGGAACTTTAAAGAATCATATAACTCATGGCATACACTCTCAGGCTTTGGCCTTTTATAGCTGTATAATTATAAAATCGCCTGTTCTTCTTCCACCTCTTCTTCAATAGAATATTTGGAGGGAAAATGATATTTTCAATTCAACTGAATTTATGCCATTTGAACTACTTTCAACAATGTTTTTTGTATCAATGACTGAAGTCTTTATCTCTGAACATGTGCAACATATACTCTTCAATAAAAAGGCATAAATATTTGCAATGTTTCGTGAGAGTTTCATTGGAGAAGGGAAACTTGATTGGAGGTGGAGGCCAACTATGTCAACTGCCCCTCAGCACCACTGAAATTAATGGGAGCTAAGTTAATTCATTCATTTTTAGTGAGTTAGGGACTTGTTTGTAACTGAGTGAGTCCAAAATAGAATGTAAGCCTCTGATAAGAAACTCAGCTAAGAATGCAATGTTCACAAATAAGGGCTGTTAAATATAAAATGTGTTCAATAGCCAATACTTGAATAAATAAGAAGGAAAAGTCGATAAGGAAAATTTTATTTGATCACAGACCAAAATGCATAGAACCAGCTGAACGTCACTCATGACTTACAATAAAATACTTTATAAGGAGGGAGAGCCCGGGTATTTATTTATCCCAATCCTGTATTAGACAAGAAAATCCTGTATTAGACAAAAAAAATCCTGTAGTCGGGACTCACACTGTTGTACTGTCTCTCTCGCAGTATCTCAAGTATTCCTCTCTAAAATATAATGAGGGAAAGCCACTTTGATGTAGTGGTTAAGACATCAGACTGGAAACCAGGAGACTGTGAATTCTAATCTGTCCTTACACCAAAAGCCAGCTGGCTAATCTTGGGCCATCCATTTTCTCTCCACTCTAGGAAGGAAGCACTTTAGAATTAGAATTAGAATTCTTTTGATTGGCCAAGTATGATTGGACACACAAGGAATTTGTCTTGGTGCAAATGCTCTCAGTGTACATAAAAGAAAAGAGACATTCATCAAGAGTCAAGAATCATCAGGTACAACACTTAATAATAGTCACAGGGTACAATAAGCAATCAAATCATACTAGGAAACAGTCAATATAAATCCTAAGGATACACACAACAAAGTTACAGTCATTCAGTCACAAGTGGGAGGGGATGTGTGATTCATTCATCCATGAAGAAGATTGCTGCTTAATAATGCTGTATGTTCTGAGCAAATAGAAAACAGAGAATAAAGAAGTCGGTGGAAGTTCAGCACCCTGGACACGGCACTAATCTACAACCGTCTCCCTCTTGCTAAGTCGGCTATTGTTTATGAGGAAGTTAGGTTTCATCTGGGTGGCTGGCCATTCACCAGAAGCCAAGCCACACTAAAAGCCCCCAATACATGAAACACAACATTGCCAGCCAATCAAGACAAAGAAATGCTACAAAACAGACAGAAGATATTAGAAACACCAATCAAGCAGAACACAGCAAATTCCGAGACCAATAAACACAGACCAAGACTCCCAACCAATCAGGATGAAGAAAAAAACATTCTAACACAGCACAAGGCCAGCACCAAATTTAAAACAGAAATGGCTGTGAAAGCCTGACACACAGACAAACCCAGTACAGAAGCCTGATGATGGCAGATGAGATTCTGCCGAAATGTCACTGCAACTTTAAAAGCACAACTAAAATGACATGGGAAAATACCCGAACAAAGCTGAATACCATACATACGTACGTACGTATGTATGTACGTATGTATGTGCGTGCGTGTGTGTGTATGTATGTATATGTATCCTATTTTCCACAGAAATATCACTTTGAATAGTGTGAACTTGAGTAACGCAACCATTTCATGGGATTTATTAAGTGAACTGATTGAGATCTACCTGTACGGGTTTATTAAAAAAAGAAAAGAAATTTGTTGTCTTCATCTTGACTTTGATCCTTGTTTTAGAAATATCCATATATATTTGTCTAAGAGAGACATAAGTTCAGATGGAAAGAAATATAAAGCATGAATGCCTTTTTATGTTTTAAAATATCAAGTCAAATAAAGAGACAGAAAATTGAAATCCCATGGTCCCTGGGTGGATGTTCTAGATCTTGATGACATTGTAGAGCGAATGGCCCCAGTCTCACAAAAGAAAATCAAGAGAAATGTTTTATTTTTAAAAGTTAAATATCTGGAATTGAACTAAATTTCACTGGATTTTAATTGTGTCATGCAAAATCTCACCATCTGGATAGATAGATAGATAGATAGATAGATAGATAGATAGATAGATAGATAGGTGGGTGGGTGGGTGGGTGGGTGGAAGGAAGGAAGGAAGGAAGGGAGGGAGGGAGGGAGGGAGGGGAGGGAGGGAGGGACAACCTTTTGCATTCCACCAGGAGGTAGCACAATGCTGAAGCGCTGATCCATGCATTAATAGATCAAGGATTTGACTTGGCAGAAGCTGCTTTCAAGAGGACCACATCACCATTGCTGAAAAATGACTTGGAAGTCTTTGACTGATCAATTTGTGCAAATGGAATGAGAAGAACCAAAGAATCTTGAGTCAGTTTCAGAAAATAGACCAGAAGCAAAGACAACAAGAATCAGTCACAAGCTTCCTAAAAATATTAAGTTGTTTTATTGGCTGGATCGCTCAAGTAACATGACAATGGAGCACAGAATCAAAACCCTAACTTAAATGATCCCACAAAATGAATGCCTTCCCCTCCTGATGTTTGCAATAAGGGGGGGACGGATACTCAAGATTAAAAAGAGCTTCAGCAGGATGACACTGGAGCAGCTGAAATTAAAAAAAAAACACTCCAGTTTCTTTGAACATTGATGGTAGGTGGAGGGTTGATTGCATTGTCATCCACATCACTGTTCATGAAGGTAGCTGTGTCCCCCCTCATCCCTCTCATTCTTTCTCCTGATTTCTTGTATCTTGATACCCCTAACATTCTCCATGGGTATTGGATAAAAGGCACAGCATTCTCTCTCCAAAAGCCCAACAGTCCTGATCCAGCTGTTTTTCAAGTACAGGTTGAAGATCTGGCTGTTTCCCTGGGTTCTAGCTGAACATGGACTGTCTACCTACAGGAAGTCCTCATTGAAGAGCCTTGGTGGCAGAGTGGTTAGAGTGTAGTACTGCAATCTGCTTCTGCTGACTGTTAGCTGACTGCAATTTTTTTGCAGTTCAAATCTCATCAGGCTCAAGGTTCATGCGGCCTTCCATCCTTCTGAGGTGGGTAAAATGAGGACCCAGATTGTTGGGAGCAAAAGGCTGACATTGCAAACCACCCTGAGAATGCTTTGAAGCACTCTGAGCCATGATGGTGCAATGGTTAGAGTGCAGTACTGAAGGCTCCCTCTGCTGACTGCCGGCTGCCTGCAATTTGGCAGTTCAAATATCAAGGTTGACTCATCCTTCCATCCTTCCAAGGTGGGTAAAATGAGGACCCAGATTGTTGTGGGCAAAAGGTGACTCTGTAAACCACTTGGAGAGGGCTGTTATAAAGCACTGTGAAGTGGTATATAAGTGCTATTGCTTGTGACCACCATTGGAACCAGCAACTGTGTTGTTAAGCAAAGTGGTTGCTAAGTGAAATCACAACTGTGGCTATTATCTCACCTCAGCTTTACAGACCTGTGAAGATTATAAATGTGAGGACTAGTCATAAAGTTATTTTTTCATCACCCGAAAATGAGGCAGTCACTAAACAAGGACTACCTGTACAATAGAAGAAACATTACACAGATTAAGAGTTTACTTATCCCCCACCCTCTCCTCTGACATGACAGTCTTTTAACTGTGGTTTTAAAGCATTGTTCTCCATTTTTAAACCTTGTAGGCTGACCAGAAGTTAACTCTAGAAATATAAATGACAGAGAAGTACAGATTGCCCCTTTCCTCATCTGCTGGCATTCAGATTCCAATGAGTTTTGTAAGCCTAAAGAATCACAGAGAATCATAGAGACCCTGTCAGTAAATCAGCATAGTTTGTCTGGTGGCAGAAGGCTAAAGTCCATGTCGTAAACATATATCTGAAATTTACCAAAGGCAGAATTTATCAATAGGACAAATGGCAGCTCAGAGAGAGTTGAGAGGGGAGGAGACAATTGAAAAGGAAAATGAACCAATTTTATGATCAAGATACATAAAGCTGGAGCCTGTTTTGCTTTGTATCTAGGTTGAACTATTCCAAGGTTATTCTTTTTACAACATTCTTAATTCCTACATTAGTTCAGGTAGTCAATATTGATCTCCAAGGGTTGATGGCGCTATGCAAGAGGTTGATAAATGAGTTGGGTTCAAAAGGGGGGGGGGGTCAGTACACCAAGGGTGTCAAACTCAAGGCCCAGAGGCTGGATCCAGCCCATGGGGTGCAGAGGTGGTATTCAGCAGGTTCGGATCAGTTCTGAAGAACCATTAGTGGAAATTTGGAGTAGTTCGGAGAACCGGCAAATCCCACCTCTGACTGACCCCGCCCCCCATCTATTCTCCACCTCCTGAATCCCAGCTGATCGGCTGGGTCTTCTTTTGTTGCCCTACACAGGAGAACGGAGCTGGAAAGCAAGTTAGTGGGATGGGGAGGGAAGGGGGATTTTGCAGTATCCTACCCCTGCCATGCCCATCAAGCCACACCCACCAAGCCACACCCACAGAACCGGTAGTTAAAAATGTTTGAATCCCACCACTGGATTGGGCATTTTAATCCACGCCTCTACTCATTCCAAAGGGCTTGGAATAGGCAGACATAG